AGACCTGCCCATTAAAATAGTTAACAATGTGAACCAGTACAGGAATTAACTGGAAATGGCAATTCCCATTTTGGGTTTCTCATATTCTTTGTGTTTTGACAATACCCAAGAGTTTGTATAATAGGGAACCAATATAGTATATTAAGAGTAGAGCTCTTTGGTCAGTGCCTGTTCTTATTGGATTATGGGTTTAGTCCCGAATCTATAGATATTGCTGCTCTCTGAATAGTCTTGTACAAATGGGAAGCTAGTTGTAGTGTTAAAATGACAACATATCAGATAAGGCAATAAAAAGTTGTAAGATTTCAGAAAAGGTGAAAATAATTTTTATTTGTGGTGATGATCCTGTTCTACTCTATAGTTGTGGCCACAATTTTACTTGACTGTTTGAGGACTTTGATTCAAAAAAGGGCCCACACTGATTGAAAAAGGGTCCTAAGAAATCAACTGAGAGATAAATAGAATTGCATATATTATAACAATTTAGCAAGTATCATTTTAGAGTCTTCTCAGTATTTTCATATGCTTTTCATTTCCATTAACCAAAAAAGCTAGAAAGAACTCACTTTAGAGTGAATTATTTTTCTTGTTAAGTTTTGTAAGGGTAAACTCTGTTCTCTAGGATTCAAATATAAGATGAGAGCAAGGTAGACCTAGAGCAGTAGAGGCAATCCTTATTTTCCGCACAAGTAAATAACATCTACTCGATGCATGCATTTTAAAGTGGGATTATAGTAGGGAAGGTAGATAGTGGAATTGTATGGTATTTTTCAGTAACATAATAAGGGATAAGAAAGCTCTATGTAGAATTTTGGCATTGAGAAATCATACTTTCAGTGAGGTTACCTTTTCTTTATCTCCCTCTATTAAACCCTTAAGAGATGGCAACTATAATTGTTTCCTTTTCTTCTTATCCCTAATCATTGTTATTGGTCTCTTATTTCTCACACTTTAAACTCTGAAACCCCAAGTCTTCCACTTCTTAAATCTTTTCCCAAATCATTCATAAATATTGTGGCTGGGCATAATCACTATTCTTTACTTTCATAGCTTTCTATGATTCAGCCTTTTAAAAAATGACAAGAACGTTAACACTGCATGTTCCATATTCAATAAGAAAAATCTTACATTCAATTCACAATTATAATAAAACATAAACAGTGCATCACATAATATTGTTTTAGTTCAAGATAGATAAGCATTTGTGAATACATTTGTTCAGCAATATTTTTCCTTCACTGTGTGTATAAAAACATTATTACTATGGGCCATCTGCTAGAATAAAGAAATCGTTTCACTGTAAAGAACTATATGTTAAATTGTGAATTTTTGGTGCATTTTGCATGTATTACAAAGATCTTGATGTTATGATTTTTTCACCTAAGGTATAACTAATAACAAAATTAAATATAAACTCTGACTCCCTGTTGTCTGTAGAAAAAAGGGTCATTTCATTAGTTTGCCATTTCAAAGCCCTTCAAGTTTGAACAGAGCTAAAAAGTCCAATCTGATGTCTCACTGTTTTTCTTTATCTACCTTACTGCTTACCATATAGTCTAGTCAAAGGAAATATTGTTTCCTTTAAATGTTCCTCCCAATCTCTGAACATGAGGTCCTTGAGGACAGATACTACATCTTACTTGTGTCTGAATCCTCATTGGTTGCTTGCCTAACGCAGAGTCACATAGTAGTTTTAAGTGAACATTGAACAAATGAATTATACACTGTGTATACACTTTACCTCCGTATGTACCATGTTCATTAAGTCTAAATCCTAGAAGTCCTCCGCCAAGTCCAACATAATATCTCCTAAGAACCTTCAATTAACTCTCAACTTTCTCTGAACTATTAAAGCACTTATGTAAAATTTTTTGTATACACTACCACTTTTATTATGTATGATATATTTGCTTAGATAGAGGCCTTAGCCTTATCCCATTTCTCCTATTGGCATCGAGCACAGGCTTTTGTGGCACTCAATCTTGGTTTTGAATACTGGCTGTACCATGTGTATTCTTGGACAGGTTGTCATCTGTTAAATGGAAACTTGTTATCTATACCTTGGATGGTTACCAAGATCAAATGAGATAATGTATAAAAAGAGCAGTTGACACTCAGTAAAAAACATAGAGGCTGGCATACTGTGACAGTAAATGTTCTGACTCTTCTTTCTCCTTATCTGACTCTAAGCTCATTGATGGTAGGCATTGTGTTTCTTTTATCTACCAACTGTGCCTAGCAAGTGCATTAGTCTTAATAGGTGTTCAAATATATGTTTAATGAATGAATAGAAATTTGGACATTCTTGATAATGTTAATATTTCTGATCACTTTATGTAAGATTCAAAATTGATTAGTAAACATTACAAAAATTAAAATAGATATTAAACTTGGCTATTTGTGTTACTTATTAATTTAATTCTTGGGCTTTATTCCAAGTGTATTTATCAGTCTCTAGATATTTTTGTAGAGAGTATACTGTAATGTAGCTTATCCTAAAAAGGATCCCCAAAATACAATTTTATCTGGTTGTTGCATCAGGCATCTCAGCCAACAGAATTTAAAATACTTTAGGAAAACTGTAAGTTACTTACAATACAGATTTAAATTGTTTGAACTCCCTTAGATTCTGATTCTTTACTGAATCGAATCATGTCATGAAAATAAAAGTGTATTTTTAACTCGGTTACTGTGTACTATTCTCACTTTGAGAAATGTTTCAACTATATAGAGTTATATATTTTTAGAATTGAAGAAATCTCAAGGATAAAGATCTTATTTTTTTGTTCAAAATTTAAAAGATCTGATGATAAATTAAGCATTTGAAGTTAAAGGTTTTTGTGTTTTAAAAGAAATTTATCAATTTCTAAAATTGATAGAAAATCTCTTTATAGTACTTTAGTAACTAGTGAATGTTAAGCAATAAAAGACAACCTTGTTCTGACTTTCCTTAATGCTATTGACAATTTTTATGTTTTAAAAACCAGAGCAGCAAAAACAAAACTAGAGCAACACTGCAAAAGACAAGCATTGTAGCATTGATTCGAAGTGGGTAGAATAGGCGTTTCCACATCAGGAAGTATGTTACTCTCCTAGGTTTTCTTGTTTTTATGCTTTTCTTTAACACAGTGTTCTCTCACCCACTCCCCAAAAAGACTAAGATCTAACTTAAGGTTGTAATTGGGTTACCAGCCTTCTTAGTTCTGAAGAAATGTGCAGATTGCCTTTCTTTGACATCACTTCTTACTCCTCTAGAACACTCCCTAAGTGACTGTTGCGTGTCCTATCCCTGTACTAGATACTGGTGGCTACAAAGATGATTGTGAGTCATTTATCTCCAGAAGCCTACAGACCAGAGTAGCCTTTCTAACCTCATGTTCCTTACTTCTCTGTTGTCTTGAGAAATGTTAATAAATATTTCATAGTAAAAGGGGTTACATATTTCCCTGAATTTGGTAATAGTGAATGTTTTATCCCCATCTTGTTGACAGTACCAAGAAGTCTTTCAGTAAAGAAAGCAGTGTAGCTTTCTGTAATCCAGTATTACCCTAACTTATTTGACCATAGGACTCTGTTTTTGTGCCACACATGTCAATGTCTCAAGGGATATAAATACTCTTCAGCACCCAGTTTGGGAACCTGTGCAGACATATTTATAATGTGATGAGTGCTATGAGAACAGCAGGGGTAGGGGAGTTAGGGAAGTTTTCACACAAGCAGTTTTGTGTTAAACCTAGTCTTAAACCACCTGTTTATAAGGGAAGGGAAGGGCGCTTTAGGGCAAGGCAGAAAGAATAGAATGTACAAAAGCACAAATGCTTGACAGAGCAAGGTGTATTTGCTGAAAGTCTAGTTAGCTCAGTATCCTTTACCCAAAGTGGGATTGACTGTCAAGGAAGAAGCTATACTAGAGAATGAGTCAGGGCCCTTGCAATGTATTAAAAAATCTTGAATAGCATGATTGATTTATAAAGCAGGTAGTAACCTAAATTTCAAAGTTTTGTAATGTCACTTGTGCTTTATATTTAAAGCTGGTTTTCCATAGGGAAAAACAAAGATTTCAAATTTATCAAAAACTAGCAAGAATGTAAGGTAAACTATTATGGCTGAATTATTTACCATGTGCTGCTATTGAGTTCTTAATGTTATTTAATCATACTTATTAAAAAATTTGTGTTATGTGTGAACATTTTAATAAGTACATTTGGAATGATGAGGCAATATCCCTTGTAAAAAGTTTAAAGTTAACTAATTTCTATTTTGGAATTAATCCTAGGAGAATCATCAAACAGGAATACAGAACAATGAAATATTTTACATTTTTAAATTTAAGGTTTAACTGAGCTTTCTCTTACCATCATTGATGCTTATTACAAAATGCTGGAAAATAAAGGAAAAAGAACAAAGTACACTCATGCCATATAGAGATAAATGTATGTTGGTATATTTATATTTTCTCTAGACAAAATCTACATTTTTATATTTCTACTAAATGTAGTACTTTTTTTTTTTACATTTTCCACATTATAAATTCTTTGTAAACACCGTATTTCAACAGTACTTAATATTCCATTCAGTGAATATGTTCATATAATGCTAGATAGTCTTCAGCTTTTCCATCCATATTTTTACATGGTTTCTGTTTTTTTTGTTTTCTATTATTTTTATAAATAATGCTTTGTGTATAGTTCCAGAATTGGAATTATTGGGTCAAAAGGTAGGAATATGTTTAAGGCTCTTGGTGCATATTACCACATTACTTCCCAAAACAGTGCCGTCATTTATATTTCTACTCAGAATGTATCAAGAGGTTTATTTCCTCAGACCTTGAGAACAGTCATTTAAAAAAGACAGCTTTACTGGTTTGATAGTTTAAAAGTATGGACATACTCTTTTTTTCATGGTTTTAATGGTAAGCAATATTTTACTTGTTCTACTTAACACTTTTTATAAACAAATATAAGGATTTTTCATTGATATGAAGCTTTTTTGTTTTTGAGGTATCCGTCTCGAATTGAAAAAATTGACTATGAGGAGGGCAAGATGCTGGTCCATTTTGAGCGCTGGAGTCATCGTTATGATGAATGGATTTACTGGGATAGTAATAGATTGCGACCCCTTGAGAGACCTGCACTAAGAAAAGAAGGGCTAAAAGATGAAGAAGATTTCTTTGTATGTAGCAAGATGTTTTCATTTGCTAACTGATGTAATGACATATTTTAAAAGTATTCTGTTAAATATTACCAAAGCCTGTTTTTGTTAAGGAAATGCTTATTTATTATACATGAAATTTATCTTAAATGTTGTTTGAAATAGGATTTTAAAGCTGGAGAAGAAGTTCTGGCTCGTTGGACAGACTGTCGCTATTACCCTGCCAAGATTGAAGCAATTAACAAAGAAGGTATGTGTTTGAAATGATCTGAGACTTAAAATGGGATTGATAGTAAAATTTTACTATGCTTTAATTTTAATTAGTGTATGTAATTGTTACATGTAACTCTTTGTTTTATATTTTACTGAATGAATTTTCTGCTAATGTTCTTTTTTGGAAGCATTAATTTGTTATATATCATATAGAATAAAATCACACATAATTTACTGCCAAAATAACTGTTTAAATTAGTAGAGATAAATAGTTGGTTAAAGTTTTTCAACTTTCAGTTCCCAGGCTATTATGTTATATGCATTCTATTTCTGCTTCTCTGTTTTTAGTTTGTGGCTGTTATATTAATGAACATCTCAACCAGAGTGTGAAGAAAGGTTAAAGATGTAGGGAAATTCAAATCAGTTCAACTCACAAGTAAAATACATACTGTATTTTCTGAGGAGAGGGTATGGGACTTTATCAGTTTGAGGATTTCCTTTATGTTTGTCTCTCCCCTCCCCTATCATTAATTTCTATAGATAATTGAGTTAATTTTCCTAATAGCCTTTTGTGGACATTTGTTAGAATATTAGATACTGATCAATAGTTACTTAAGTGATCAAAAATGTTAAAAAATAGTGGAAATTAGGTGTATTATTAATAGTATGGCATAAGGCTGGGAAATCTATTTGGACAGATAATCAATTTAAAAAATAGAACTCATAGACTGATTAATTTGGAAAGAGAGAATTCATATTTAAATAATTACTGAAAATAAACTTAAACATTTTAGTTTTTAAATTTCTCATTCAAAAAGTTGTGAAGTACTTGCAAGTGTACTTTTCAAGTCAGTGATACATTAGTTTTCTATTACAACTATTTCTTAAACTTGACCACTTATAATAGTCCCCCTTTATTCACAGGGGATACATTTCCAGACCTCAGTGGATGCCTAAAACCTCAGATAGTACCAAACCCTATAAATACTATGTTTTTTCCTATACTGTACATACATAGCTATGATAAAGTTTAATTTATAAGTCAGGCACAGTAAGAAGTTAACAATAATAAATAGAACAATTATGAGAATATACTATAATAAAAGTTATGTGAATCTTCCCTTCCCCCTTTCTTTCTCTTTCAAAATATCTTATTGTACAGTACTTTATTCATTTTCAGACCACAGCTGATCACAACCATGGGAAGCAAAACTGCAGATGAGAGGGGAACTACTGTATTCACTGTTTTTAATAAAGAAACAAATACTGAGTGACAGCTTCCTAGCAAGAAAGGGATTTAGTCTAAGTAAAGGGGACATTCCTTTAAAATGAGTCTTGAAAGACCACTAAGTTTGAAAAGGGCTTTTCTGGCAGAAAAAATGAGAGAGGAATGCCATGCCATATTAAGGAACTGCAAATAAATTCAAATAAATAAGGAATTTATTTGAATTAGTATATGAAGTGTCTTATAATCTTGCTGAAGAATTTTAATTATATTTGGAGGTGAGGGAACCATGGGAGAGATTTAAGCTGAGGATTTAACAACAAACTTGAGAGAAAATAGGAGATAAGAGATGCTATATTTAAGAAGGAAGAGGACAGACAGTTGCAGGAATGATGGTAGTACAAGGTGTATTTTTCTAATGTCTTTACATCCTTGCCATTCACCTGGTCTATTGTTCTCATAACTTGAGTTTAGATCTTTGTATCTGATATTTAGCATTATGCTAAATATTCAAATTATAATAGAAGAAAACTCTTTGCATATATATGCCATAGGCTTTGGTGCCAAATCCAAAGCCATTAATAACAATTATCACGGTTCTTGTTTATACTTCCTTTGTAAAGGCCAAGTATCTGTTTACTTAAAGTGACACTCTGTCCTCATTTGGAAAATGGTAGAAAAACATTTATCTGGGAAATGATAGATAGGCACTTGAATGTAAGTATAAGACATACATAATTTATATATTTTATAATAGTACTGGATTATATTGACTTGAAAGCATGGAGTATATAACAAAAAGTGAATATGCTTCATAATAGACATGCAAAAAGACTATTGAGTCTTAAAAGTAGAATAAGTTAATAGGAAAGACATAGATGGCTAGAAGAGGTTGGGAGTGTTAATTATGGCTGTGCTACTGCATAGCTAAATGTCACTGGATGTAGCATTTAGCTTCTCTGGAGTTTGGTGCCCTGAACTGCATATGAAGACTTTACCCAGATGACTGGTAAAGTATTTTCTAGCTTAAAAGTCTGGGAATGTATAATTCTTATTTGCCAGTTGGTTACTATTGCTAAAGGAACAGTCCTTTCCTGGGAAGATGATCTTTTCCATGTATCAGATCTTTCTCTGTGTTACTTATTTTGAAAGAAATATTCAAAGAGAGCAAATGATAATTCCTGTGGAAATATTATACGTTTTTATAAATAGGGGTTTTTTCAGCCATATTATAAATCTAAACATTTATTACAGAATAAATTATAAAGTCTCCCACTAAAAACCAGAAATTACATGCAACTAACTTATCAAGACTTAATTTGTGTACTTTTTAAGGGAAATATGAGTTCAGACTTGTTTTTAGAGGGACAGAGAAAGCACACTTGATAGAGTCCTTACAAGGACTATATGTTTGTAGTTATTGGATTCCAAAGCATTTATTTATATCAGGTCACTACTTGTTGCTGTAAGTTTGATTGTATTTTCTAATGATTCTAACTTGCTCCTATTTCAGGAACATTTACAGTTCAGTTTTATGATGGAGTAATTCGTTGTTTAAAAAGAATGCACATTAAAGCCATGCCCGAGGATGCTAAGGGGCAGGTAAGAGTGTTCAGTATTCCTAGCTACTCAATGAGATACCTTCTTGAATGGTGACTGATCAAAATATATATATTTTAAAAAGTGAACTAATTGTAGGGTTATGTGCTGATAGCCCCAAATAGCAGCAAGAAAAAGAAGCTTAGAATGTAAAATAAATTATACACTTGATTTTTACTTCTTTGGTTTTAGACCTGCTAAAGTTATAGGTCACTAGTTTCTGTTCCAGGTGAAATCCCAGCATCCACTAAGCTGGTGTTGTCCTATCGACCCAGCTGGATCGTGTAACCAGTCTATGGGAAGTGAGGTAAGTGCCTTTTTTTAAATTTTGTTTTGTTTTTCCTGGTATATAATATCACTTAGAAAGTTAATTTTTATATAAAATTTTACATTGAGCTTCTTATCTTCTTCTTTCCTTCTACAAATCATAGTTATTCATCTTTCTTTAAAAGGCGCTTACCTGACACTCTGTAGGCTGTTCCAGGTAGGGCTTTCTGAGTTACATGATGGAAGCAGTGTATTATATGCTTTGTCACTGCTCAAAACAAGAAAGAACGGTAAGCATTTGAAGGTCAATCTGGGATGGAGTAAAAACCAAGATTCTATTTGTTGACTGTGTTTTCTGAAATACTGGAAAGAAAAGGTGCCATTAGAAATTTAAAATATTTTCTTTTATGTTCTGCTGTTATTTGGGATTTTCAGCACCTGGACCTACAATTAATTTTAAGAACTTGAAAGTAGTCTATAAAAATGTTTAATATGGAAATATGCTACATATTTATTCCATACTGTGCAGTGAAAAATGTCCTGAAATGTGTTGAAATCACCTGGTCAGCTTCAGTCAAGTATCAGTATTTAATGGTCTAGAAATGTATGTACCACCACATTTAAAAAAAGTTATTCCTGAAGAAATCTTCTGAGAAGTGTGATGGTTTTAAATTACCTGGTTTTCAAAAATTTAGTTATGAAATGATCAGCTAGCAGAGTTTTTCCACCATTAACATGTAAATGCAATTTAAAATGAAAGTGCTTTTGGCCAGGAAATTGCTTTGTATCTTATCACATGTGTGTATAAATAAAATGTTCTTTTAAACATTCAATGGTGTGATTTTTTTTGGTTACTACATAGAAAGATTGATTAAAAAGTTGGGAGCATAGTTTAGTTACATACCCATTTAAATAAAAATATCAATTTTTTTTTATTATTCTGTTCTTCTGGTAATTCAGATGTTCATCAAATGACACTAATACTATTGCCTTAGAACTTTTATTTTTTTCAAAGGGGGGCATTGAGCCAATTTGCTTTGTGGTGATATTGTAGGTTGTAAAAATTAAATTTATTGGATGTTTTAGATGTTTATTTTTAATAAGCATTTTAGTCACACCATGATATATATTAACATAAAAATCAGTTCCAAGAAATAAAACTACTGAAAATATTTGGGTAGTGGTATATTTCCTTTAATTTTTTATTTTTTCTTCACAATTCCTAATGACAAGCACATTAACCATATTTGTAGAATTGTTTTTAATAAACTGCCATTTGATGAGGGTTTTTTTCCAAAAAGTTTTTGACTTGTTTTCATGTAGGAAATAGCCTAAATCAGTTGTTGTTTGGGCAAGGCTAAAGGAGTGCTGTCTTACATAGTATCTTCAGGATTTTGAGTACTTTGAGAATTCCTATATAAAGTTATAAAGTAAAACTTCTTTTATTAAACTAGCCAAGAATAATGCATCAAATAAATGCACAGTGGAAATGCTCTTTCTTAAGCTTTCTGTAGAACCTGTATAAAATGTGACATTAATTACAATTTTATGTATGTAAACCTACAGGTTAATTAATATTTCTAAGCCAAAATAAAAGTCTTAATGCTGTCATTTCTGACTTTGAAAGAGTTGGTTAGTACTAGTGAACCTCTCCTTTCATTCAGAGGTTGACTTGAGCACTTTAAAGAGCTACTAATATTACAGTGGGTGCAGTGTGAGGTGTAGTCCTTCTTACACTGTATCTGTGGACATTTTTCTCACTGGGAAAGAAAGTAATAGTAACATGTTGAATGCAGAAAATAAGATCCCTTCTCTCCCTACCTACATACCATTTTTCCTTCTTTTACATAATTTTGGGTAGAGTGGTAGTGTTAATACATAAATAGCTATAAAACTGATATATTTGTAGAATAAGGATTATTCCTTCATCTGATGAGACCTTATTATTACTGCTGGTATTCCATCTTGATAAAAGCAGTAGTAATTACAGGGTGAGAGATTGAGCCATTGTATTTTTAATTTGGAGGCTTGTAACAGGACAAATACTTACTTTTTCTCTCCTATTCGTTTTTCTTCCTGAGAGTTTAAGGATACAGAAGTTACATTGTAAATCACTAATGTTAAAGGTTGGCTCATAAGGTCCTTTACTATTTATGAAACATTTTTGCATACATTGTTTAATTGGATTCTCATAGCAAATCCTTTGATATAGGTATGCCTGATATTTCTGTTTCACAGTTGAAGAATTCAGTACTTAGTTGAGTAAAATTTTAATAGTTGAGTAAAAGTTTACTCAACTGTTCTGTGCAAAGTGATTCCTTGAACCTAGATCTTCTGATTTCAAACACAGTGCTCTTTTTAGTGCAATACTCTATTATATTATCTATAGAGAACTTGGAAATTTATCATTATTAGTTATAATTCATGGAAACATCACACTTCAGTTGTTTTTGGCAGTGATGCTTTCCTATTTAAAATGTCAAGGGCAAACAAAATCTAAAACATACAAATACAATAGCAAAATATGGAAGAATTAAATCACATGGCTGCAGTGATTCCCATGATTAACATGTCATATGATTAAGAAGCAATTTTTAAATATCTAATTTAAATTTTTAAAGGTACAGTATGATTCTTTTTCTAGTTTTCTCTTTATTGGAGGTAGAAATCAACTTGGAATGGAAATTACCCCTGACATTTTCCAGCATTTCTCTAACAACTTAAAGTTTTGTTCACGATGTGGAGCCCAGAATTAAATGCTGAACTTTCAATAAGTATGCAAACATATGCTCTCTGCTGCATTTAACACTTTACTTTGCTTGTCTGGTTGTCCTTACTTTTGTTTCTGTTTCCATTTTTGTTGATTGCTTTCTTACAATTTTTTTTTTCCATTGATGGTGCTTTCTTTCCCTACTACTTAAATGTTAGTGTAAAGGTTCAGTTTAGCCATAGTGCTTTTGACTACCAAAGTTGCTCCTTGAACCTTCCAGCACTCTTTCCCATTCCTGTGTGCTTTGATTTCCAAGCCTTTATCTAATGTTTTTTCTTTTGCTTGGAGTGGCCATTTTCTCCTTTTCCACTGCCCTTTCCCTAGCAAATTTCTGCTTATCTTCAGGGTGCAACTCACCTGTCATTTTTCCTGAACACTAGTCTTTCTCTTCAGTTAAAATTAATCTTTTCTTTTCTGTTCTCCTATAGTATTTTTTTTTTATTTCGGCATATTATGGGGGTACAGATTTTAAGGTTTCAATAAATGCCCATTTCCTCCCCTCCCCCCAAAAGTCTGAGTCTCCATCATGACCATCCCCCAGATGGTGCACATCTCACTCATTATGTATGTATATACCCGCCCCCCTCCCCCCTCCCACCTGCCCAATACCCTATTACTGTAGTACCTATGTGTCCACTTAGGTGCTACTCAGTTAATACCAGTTTGCTGGAGAATATATCTGGTGCTTGTTTTTCCATTCTTGGGATACTTCACTTAGTAGTAGGGTTCCAGCTCTAACCAGGAAAATATAAGATGTGCTATATCACCGTTGTTTCTTAGAGCTGAATAGTACTCCATGGTATACATATACCACATTTTATTAATCCATTCTTGGATTGATGGGCACTTGGGCTGTTTCCACAGCCTTGCAATTATGAATTGTGCTGCTATAAACATTCGAGTGCAGGTGTCTTTTTTGTAGAGTGTCATTGGATCATTTGGGTAGATGCCCAGCAATGGAATTGCTGGATCAAATGGTAGATTCATTTGATCCTATAGTATTTTGATTATTCCTCTAGCTTGTGTCACATTGTCATGTAATTAATTTTATTTACCTGTGAATTGTTATTGGCAGGATCAGTCTTTTATCAATTGCTTAGCCTGTTTCCTGTCATATATAGCAGGGTATTCAATAGAAAATTGGTGATTGAATGTGTTAGGTGCAATTGGGTGATGTTTTCAGTTAATTTCAATGATGTAGGAGAGAAGTAGATACATAGTTTTTTTTAATGGTTTATTGTTTTCACCATATATTTTTAAGGGTGAAGAGCTACCAACCTATATAGCTTATGGCTTAATTTTGTTAACCTATATTAGTGAAATTTGTTAATGTAACCCATGAATTAAATTCATTTGATGTTGTAAAATTGTTTTTAGTTGCTTGGACTAAGTATTTAATATATAATGTATTTTAGATGAATCTGAATTGGTGATCTGTTTGACAGAGCTTAGTAGCCTCAGTGGAAGATTAACTTTGTAGACATATTACAAATATGTGTTTTAAAAAATCTTTTCTGATTGTGAAAATTAAAATGTTAGTACCACTTTACACTTTTTTGCACCTTTCTGCATTTTTTACAATAAACACTTAGTTTTTAGTTATTTTTAGTTAAAAATAAAATATTAAAATTTATTTAGCAACAAATTAAAAAAATTAACACAGGAAAAATAAATATTCACACCTCAAGAAAATGCTCCCAAACGCAGAACCAGGGAGTTATATTGGCACCTCAGAAAAATGCTAACAAAGGATAGACCTAGGGAGTTATATAGGGAGAGAAATTAATCTGGAGGTTGACAGTATATGCTTTACTTTGTTCTAGTCAACATAGCTTTTTTTCTTCAGTAGTATTAAGCTTTTGTGATAAATTGCTTCCCAAACTTTAAAAGCTTTAGAAAATATTAAAATTATACCTTCCTTGATTTCTATGAAATTGACTATAATTTGAATGGCACATTCTTTCCTGATAAGAAGTATTAATTTGGTCAATGGGAGTATATAGTTTTTTAACTTTGTAGAATTGCAGCATGGCATTTTCCTCTTTTTTTATAATGCTTTGTATTGTGGAAAAGAAAAACAGTGCAGCATTTGAACCCTAAAGTACTAGAGTAGAATGTCATGTAGTATTCCATATTTGCCATAGGTTTCTTCTGTTTGGATTTTATTTCTATAAAAATATTTCAAAGGAATACTTATTATTGAATATTTTTCCTATTTTGTGGAAGATTATATAATCCAACTAACCTATTAGGTTATTACATTTGATAATCTACCATGTTGATGAGCTATTATGTAAACGTAGTGATCTTGATATTCTTGAGTAGCTTTGAAAATGTGAGACTTTATTCATTAGTGTAATTACATTTTGATTAATTTTTAATACTTCACATGTTTTGTGTTTTTCCTTTGGAGGATTGGATAGCTTTAGTCAAAGCAGCTGCTGCAGCTGCAGCCAAGAATAAAACAGGGAGTAAACCTCGAACCAGCGCTAACAGCAATAAAGATAAAGATGAAAGAAAATGGTTTAAAGTACCTTCAAAGAAGGAAGAAACTTCAACTTGTATAGCCACACCAGAAGTTGAGAAGAAGGAAGATCTGCCTACATCTAGTGAAACATTTGGTACAAAATACGTTCTTATGCTCATTCCTTTTAACCCTAGTAAACTCAGATAGTGCATAAGTCCAGATCCCTTGGCTCCCTGTAATTTTAAACATAATAATATAATTAGGCTTTTTTCCCCTTACATAATATGATGGCTAACTTTTTGAGCATCTTACAGGTAGATCTGAAAATTAATAGTGTAATATGAGTGCTTAATATTGAATTCCCTCAATATTCTGGAATAAAAATGAGTTGAGATTTTGATTTGTAACTTCCTGGTAGTAGGTTTTTGTTTGAGGTTTTTTGTTTTATGTTTTTCCTACAACCTGTTTGTTTCTGCATATATTTCAATATGCAATATGGAAAAGCAGTAAGTCATTCTTTTTCTGCTTTTTTCTTTTTTAAAGAATAACTAGGCCAGGCACGGTGGCTTATGCCTGTAATCCTAGCACTCTAGGGGAGGCTTATGTGGGAGGATTGCTTGAGCTAAGGAGTTTGAGACCAGCCTGAGCAAGAGCGAGACCCCATCTCTACTAAAAATAGAAAAATTAGCTGGGCACAGTGGCATGGGCCTGTAGTCCCAGCTACTCGGGAGACTGAGGCAGGAGGATTGCTTGAGCCCAGGAGTTTGAGATTGCAGTGAGCTATGATGATGCCATTGCATTCAAGCTGGGGTGGCAGAGTGAGACTCTGTCTAAAAAAACAAACAGGCCGGGTGTGGTGGCTCACACCTGTCACCCTAGCACTCTGGGAGGCTAAGGCTGGAGGATTGCTTGAGCTCAGGATTTCGAGGCCAGCCTGAGCTAGAGCGAGACCCTGTCTCTAGTATAAATAGAAAGAAATTAGCCAAACAACTGAAAATAGAAAAAATTAGCTGGGCACAGTGGCACATGCCTGTAGTTCCAGCTACCTGGGAGGCTGAGGCAGGAGGATTGCTTGAGCCCAGGAATTTGAGGTTGCAGTGAGCTAGATTGAAACCATGCCACTCTAGCCCAGGCAAGAGAGTGAGACTCTGTCTCAAAACAAAACAAAACAAAACAAACAAACGATAATAACTTCTTAGTAGTCTTTTATTTCTAATGTATCAGTCTGGAGGGATGTGTGTTTTTTAAAGTTCTATATCAAGCATTAGATGTTAAAAATTATGTGCAGAGCATTTTTACTATTTTGTTGTTTAAAAAAATCATGTGTTTTAATTTTGGATTCTAGATGAACTCTCATATATGTGTTCTATTAAAAGTAGGACTTCATGTAGAGAACGTTCCAAAGATGGTCTTTCCACAGCCAGAGAGCACATTGTCAAACAAGAGGAAAAATAATCAAGGCAACTCATTTCAGGCAAAGAGAGCTCGACTTAACAAGATTACTGGTAAACTACAATGATTCTTTTTGGGGGGAATGGAGGGTTTGGTTTTAGAGTAGTTTGTTTTTAATAAAGTAAAATAAAGTAGTTTATTTTGGGTGCAGTGTCATGAACTGGTTAATAAGAAAGTTACTTCTATCAACATTGTTAGCTTTTTCTGTTGTCAAATGTGAAAAATACCACATATCTACTGCCTACCTCACAGGGATGTTGTGAGGATTATTGATAAGGTCAAATTTTACAAAATTCTATAGTTTTTAAATCACTTTGGTGGTAGGAGTAGTTTTCTAGAAGAATTGAATTAACCTTCTTTTTTCAACCTATGGTGACATAATTTATGAGATTCTAAATATTTTTATATAAACATTCTTATACTTGACCAGGCTTATTTAAGGTTGGTACTATATATGGTTGCAAAGATGAATATATGACTTAAATTTACTTCCTGAATGTGTTAATTCTTGATGTAAAAGTACTTCTCTTAATGTAAGTTATTTAAAAAAAAAATTCCACCCTTATCTTCAGATTGGTCTCTAGATTCTGGGCTTGTTTCCATTTTCTTTCTTATAATTTAGGAAGTAGCAATGCTATGGAAAATACTGAAAATTCTATACTGGTTAGTGTTCATAGAGGAGGGGATTGAAGTGTTAGAATTAGGGCCAGTCTTAATAGGCCCTGTCATTTCCAAGGCACATTCAGCCTAGCGTTTCTAGTCTTTAAAATAAATTATGAACATATTTTATTTTTCTAAGTATAGTTAAAAGGGGAGCTTAAATACTTCAATGATTTAGTTGTATATTCTAATTATAAGGATGAGATGGTTTTAAGCACCTTTGGCCTAATAAAGCTGTATAAACCTTTGGTGGCATTCATTTAAATAATTTGAAGAAGCTTGGTTTCATTTGTCATATCTATCTAGGAATAAATTGTATTAAACATTTTGACCATTTTCTGAAGAGAGGAGTCCACTGAAAGATGACTCTCTGGAGTTGAGGGTTCTTTCGAACTACTGTTTTATTATATTATTCATGTAAGTCAGTGGTCCCCAACCTTTTTGGCACCAGGGGCCGGTTTCATGGAAAACAATTTTTCCATGGACCGGGAACCCAGGACAGGGTGTGGAGCTCTGTGACTTAGTCCCTAAAAGGCTGTGGACTGGTAGCAGGGCTTGGGGACTGCAGATTTAAGTGATTGCAATTGGTTTCAACAGGTGAAAATATATAGTCTCTTTCCATTTGTTTATATTGCTTTCATGCCTTTCTTTATATTTGGCCAGGACAGGAAATATTTCAAATCAGTTCACACATTATACCTCTTCCCTAGAAACTATAAGCCTTGGAGAAAGCCAAAATGTTCTCTAAGTGATTGTTCTGATGGCAACTTGAGACTTTAGTTTTGCCTTAAAGTATGGAACCCAGTGCTATGTGTTGGGTGGAAGTGGAATAGTGTTTCTACCTCCTGTGATACAAAGATTGAGACAGCATTATTGGAGGAGTGGAGATCAAAGAAGATGAAGATGACACTGACATGCTACGACTGCCAGCTTACCAGCTTATCATGTTTTTTCCCTTCCATCTGGATAACCTGGTTTTGGTTTCAGTCATCATACTCTTATGTATGCCTTATTGGGAGGTTCACACTCATCATTTAAAGAGTAAAGAAAAAAAAAAGAAAAGAAAAAGAAAACAGCTGAGGCAACAATGATGCATTATATCTGTGTGATCTTGAAAAGACAGTAGAGGGTGGGGAAGAACCATTTACCATGTGCCTCAAGTTGTCATACTGGTGGTTCGGTAATGCCCTGTGCCTTTTGTGGAGGAACTTTCTCTTTACCTTGGGAATCGCAAATGAATAAGTGATAGCTTTGCATAAGATTTTATGAATGTGAAACCATTATGATCTCTTCTCTCTATTTACTCAGAAGATTTAAGTATATAATAATCCTTTTAGTTGTTTATCTCTCTTCATCTGTTTCCGGTTTCATGTTACAACTGTCATGCAGAAAGACAATAGATATTATAAGATTGTCTTCAATGGTTGAAACTCAGGTTTGCTCCTATACAGTAAATTTCATTTGTAGTTTATAAAAAGAAATTAGAACTAATATAAAATAGCAGTTTTGTTATGGAATTATGGTATATTTTAAGTTTATCAACCTCACCTATATATGTCTTTTTGTCCTTTACTGCTGAGAGGAATGGGGCTGGGATCATGGCAGTCTACTCTGCTGTATTTCCTTCAACTCTATTTTACTATTTCTTTAAATAGTTCTATTAATAGCTGAAATAAGTGGACCAGCCACTAGATAATTTTAATTCATGTATTTATCACTCTTTCTATCCCCTTCCCCACATATATATCCTACAATGATTCTAAACATGATTTCTGTATAGAGGATGATACAAGGATGGCTGTTTTCAAAGGTTCCAAACTAAGTACACATTGAAAATTTAGTTGCGCAGTATGTATGTGTGTGTATATATGTGTACCTATATATTTATTACATATATATTTACTATATATATTTTTTCTTCTGGGATCTTATTGATATTATTATATGCTTTATGCATACTGCCTTAAAATAAACAATTTTACATAGAAAATCAGAATTCCATACTTTTGTGACAAAGTTGCAAGCAAACTGAATTTGAGTAGATTTAAAATGCAGATTTTTAGGGAGTGAAAGAAGAAACAAACAACAAGAGTTGGTGCATGGCCTGTTTCTAATAGTTTTTAGAAGTTTAGCCAATTTAGATATGTTTGTGCAACTTATGGAATTTTAAAGTTTAAAAAATCCTGATGTTTGAATTGACCAGTAATATGTTTATTGACAATATCAAGAATATTTGACTCTTAGTCCCAGCAAGAATATTGTATTCTGAAATGCCTGGATGAAAAGTAGACCAATAATTCAACTATTTGTTCTTGCTTTGCTCCCCTTTGCCATTCTAGGGAGCTGTGGCCTGTGTTCTATTTATTCCTGTTGGCAGGGAGAGACCAGCTATATGTTTTATAGCTGACATTGAATTTTGTGAAGTTGTGATTTTGTGGTGGGACTCATGGAGATTTGGTGTTCTTCCACCTAATGTTTAAGTAATTTTTTGAAGTGTCATAGTGCATTGTTAAGGGTAATTTTATCCTATAGATATATTCTTCTAGAGGAGGGCCTGTTAGTAGTATATTGACAGTAAGTTTTTGCCAATAACTAAAATTAATTTCATTTGTACCTTTATTTTCTTCCAATTCCTTCTCATTTTCTGTGGATATTGTATTTCTTCCCAGAATATTAGCAGATTAAGATAACAGATTTTGGACTGCCTTATCTTAAGGTAGAAGTAGCCATAGTCATCTCTTCAAGTACTTATTTTATTATTCATTTTTGTTTATATTTAATAACTGTTTTGTAAGTTGGTATGAATATAAAGCATAAGAAACTTTTATTGATCATACTTGGGCTTTTGAATTTTTCTAGGTACCAAGTATAGTAATTTTTAATCTAATCTTAAATGGTTGCTCTTAAATGTCACATATTTTCTGTGAACACATTACAAAGCTTTATTTTTCTTTCCCAAACTATTAAATGGGAATGGCTCTTAATTAATTGGGTCTGTAATGTCCTAAAGTAAATTCATAGGTTTTGGGTTATTTTGTTTCTTTTAACTTTTGGTAATTTAGTTTTGCGATTTGTGTTCTATTCCATCTATTGATGAGTATTACAATCTACTTCCCTAATCTGTATGAAAGGAAAAAGATACAATTATTTAACATATTGAATAGCAGATATTTATCCTGTTTGAATAGCCTGTAGAAGTAGAACCTCTGCTCAGCTCCCTGCAAAAGAAAAAATTTCCTCAATTTTATTTCAATAGTTCATTGATTCTTAAGAATATTAGCAGTAGAAAAACCTAGTGAATGTGGTTTTAAATGTTAAAGACTCCAAACTGCATCTTTTTCAGTCATGTAAAAATATGGTTAGAATATAATTAGGATTGAATTTATGATTTAAAAACTTTTTGTAAAATTGTTATATACTTTTTTCACCATTTAAGTCTATACTTGATATAGTGTAAGACTATGGAGATTTTTACCTTAAACTGAGCTAAATGCCCGTTTTAATACTAAACATTGGCATATCAAAATCTTTGTTTTACACTCACACCTTTTTTATTTTAAATTACAATCCAAGTGTGAAATATTCAACTTTGCAAGAAAGAAAAAGTGACTTTTGTATAAGTTACCATTTGCCTTTAGTACTACTTTAAGAATGTAATTTTAATATGTGAATTTCTACCTAGATCATTTAACATTCTTAGGGTGGTTATTTGATTAAGTCAAGACATGTTGCCTCATAGAACCTCTACCTTCTGTGGCTTTGGGTGGGGGTGCCTTTTTTTTATTACATGTGTTATAGACAGCTTCAGTAATATGGGTGATATAATTGCTGTGGTAAGTTTACTATTATGTTGGTTGTTAAACATGCTTTCTTTGAAGCAAAAGTTTTGTGTGGCCAACTTTGAGATGACACAAAAATGATTTTTGGTAGACTTTTATGAGCAGGGTGGCCATAAACAAAAACATACTTATTATACAAGGCTTATAAACCTGGCTTTATTGAAGGTACCCAAACAGGCTTAACAAAGAATTTAACTAAATAAATGCCTACAATTTATTAATTAAAGCAGAGTTTTAATGTTTTGTGAAATTAATTATACAATTATATATTTAAGATAAAATATTATCTTCTAAAATTGACAATTAATGGTATACATTGGAGAAAACTGGAACTAACAAGTTTTTCATCATTTGTAGAATAAAGCCATAATATTAAGTTCAGATGTTATACGAAGGACCCATACTTTTTTTCCCCTTAACTTAAATGGATCCATCAGTGTTTTTGTAACTCGTGTAAGAAGATGAGATATAGCTGGTCAGAGGGACACACATAAAGCTTAGGTTAAAGGATCCAAGTGAAAATAAAGTTGGGAACCTTTTATTTTAGCTAATAATACAACAAAAAATATCTTATTTTGTATTCTAGATGTTTGAAGAGATTTCTCATATCTTAATTTTATATTTTATTTCACTTGTATAGACAAAGCCTGTATTATAAGTCTAAGCAATCTTAATATGGACATTAAGCCATAGAAGTTTTAATTTTGACAGAAAAATGTGTGTGTGTGTCTGTATATGTGTATGTTTAAGAATCTCATCAAGAGTAGTATTTTAAAAAACTCACATAACTATGTAAGTAACTCTCAAATTCCGATTCAGTCCTTTACTATTTTTAATGGTCTTTGTGTTTTTGAAAAGTAAACATTTGAGCATATTTACTTTCTAAATATTGAAAAGTAGGGGAGATTTCAACTATTAAGATTTTTGAGAAGTTAATTGGGGTGAAAAAAATATTTTTTCTAATAAGCAATTTCTGTACAATTTTTCTCAAGGTTTGTTGGCATCCAAAGCTGTTGGGGTGGATGGTGCTGAAAAAAAGGAAGACTACAATGAAACAGCTCCAATGCTGGAGCAGGTATGAAATGGTAGCATTTGATTTTTTTCGAGGTTCCCACTGGAATGATCACGGAGCTCTAGTATCTACGTAATTGAAATTGCCCTTTTGATCAGATAAGGGATTAGGAAGCCAATTAATTGATGATATATTTTTAATTCTCTCTTCTCCAAGGTATACAGATAAACTACAGACTTTATTAGTGTTTGTTTTCAATAGACTGGCATTTAAAGCCTTTGTCTCCAAAATTGGAAGGCCTGGAGACAGGCATCCCAGGGTATAAGCTTCCAGCTGGATCACCTTTAACTAGCTTACAAAAAGACCCTTACACAAATACTTTTCATTTGTGAGTTAAAACAGGGTTTTTGACATCTAATAAAGCTTCTTTTGTAAGAAGTTTCTTTTATATTGTTACAATTGGTGTTGTTAGACTGTGTTTTATGAATTGATCAATGAGCCATACATTTTTGCTAGGATGTATATTTTAATAACTACAAAAAAAAAGAGTTTAGAAAACTATTAAGGATCTGTCTTTAAACCACCTAATAGAGGAATTTAAAAGTGAAGGTTGCAGTTGCTAGATTTTGCCTTGGCTACCTTCAGATTCCCACAATACCTGTACATAATGAACGTGCATGCTTTTACATTCTCTAAGGGCTTAACTTCGTAGGCACTGTAAGACTATAAGAACACAGTAATAGCCATAACTGGATTTCCTTGGTTCTCCTGTTTTAAAATCTGAGCCTTAATGTAGTTTTAAAATATCCTTTTTGTATTATTTTAATTTTCTTTATTAGTAGTCTAATAAAAAAGACTTTAAAATGAGTATCTTTTGCTCTTAGATGCATTTTAAAAAGTCCAAATTTAATTGATATTGTATTGAGTTTTTCAGGGTTATTTTAGGCCTGGTTTGATAACAGTGCATTGTTTTGGTGCCTCCATTAATGTTGTATTAAATCTATGGTCTTTTAAATTGATTAATATGTCATTGAATCATACCTTCTGATTTTCTGTGATCATCAAACGGTTAAGTCTTTGCCGTTATTGTCAGTATATCAACCAAATTTTAAATGACTTTTTTACTGTGTATTATTACTATTTCAACGTCCCAGATATAACAATATTTTGTATTTTCACCACTGTTTATGGTATTCTCAGAATGCGATAAATCAGGGACTTGGGTAATAAAATGTTTCTGGAAAATTCATTACAATGTCAATCTTTTATTACGCACAATCCTGCTGAGGTGAATGTGATTGTTAAAAGTATTATTATATGTGGAAGTTAGTGTAGAAGGCAGTACTCATTTTAGAAAGAAGTACAGAAAACATTTTGAAACTGAATTTATGAAAGAAAGAAAGGGAAATTATGTAACTCGGCTATTTCTATTTGCATAATTTAAAAAATTTTGAGAGTCCTTGCCAGTTTTGTAACAGAGACCAATGATCATTAATGAAAATTTTGTTAATTATTTTAGATTTTAAGGAACATCATTCTGTTCCCTAATTTTTTGTCATTTAGGTTGATTTCAATGTGAAAATGTTTTGTAACCAAACTCTTAATTTTTAATCTACATGTTAGTCCTGCTTCAAAGTTAAAAAGCCGAGTTATAAAGCTCTTAATTATATCTCAGTTGGTATCAACAGACATAAGGAGAGGTATTGATTCTCACTAACCTCTGTTTTCTAATGAGTTAAAATAATATCAGTCATGACATACATTGATAATAGGCCTATAGCCAAACTTACTGTGCTAATGGATTTATTTATATTTTTTAAAAATTCAAACTCTGTGGTCTTGAACCCCAATTCTCAGCTTATTAATTATAGATTATTTAATTGTATTAGGGAAATGTCATGTTATATTTACTTTTGGATAAACCTTGCATTAGATGCATAATAATTCAGTAGGTTTTTAAAAATGTTAATTTGTCCTTGTTTAGAAGTTAAGCACCTTATCAAGATATTAATTTAAGTTTCAAAATCTTGTTTTATAACTTTGTAACTCGAGAGTAATGGATGCTGTAGTGATGTCTTTCACTTATGTGAAGATGAACAATAAAATTGTTTATTTACAAGTAATGGCTCTAATTACTTTTCTGGCAACACCTTTTATGATAAGCTTAGGAATACTTTCCATTTATGGAGTACCTTTTCAAATAATTAATCTGCACTTATACACATTTATAATGAGTAGATTCAAGAATAGAAATGATGACAGCTGAATGAACGGGACACTTGACACCTGGCCTTTGATGTGGTATGGCCAACATACAATTTGTAGGACATTGAATACCAAAGATACACTTTTTTTTTCCCACCAAAATTTGAATGCCTTGTATTTTAGTGGGAATAGAATTATTTACTTATTTGGTCCCCAGACAATGATCTTTCATATTCCAGAGAACTGCAAACCATAGACCTGATGGTCATCCCTCACAAAGATATGGAAGTGAAAAGGCTTCTTGGGGACAAGCATGTTGCTTATAGTGCTAGCAATTTGACTCCTTTGTAGAGGTCTATCATAGTATAGATTTTTAGAAAAGGTATGTTACATATTTAGCTCTTGGATATATATATATATCCGAAAGAGATACAGGCATTCCAGCACCATAGATTGCAAATTCATCTAATGTGGCTATTTTCTGTTGTCTTTGAACAATGGACACATTCACACATATTTTTACATATGTAGGAAATTTTACTGCCAAATGAATAAAAATATTCTTTATGAAAGAACTGACAGAGTTCTAATTTTTTTTTAAAATTATCAGTTGGCAGGAAGAAGGTAAAAACTCTCATCTAAGAATGCGACGTATTTTGTTTTTAAATCCAATGTTTTTAACTTACACTTTATCTCTTTGGTTTTTTTTGTTGCTTGTTTTGTATTGTTTTTTAGTCTTTTAACTCTATATTGCTGGTGGCTCTGATTTCATGATGCATTATGCATATGAAACTCTAGCTTTCAGCACTAAAATGAGTTAAAGATAATGTTTCGTTAATTTGGTCATTGTTTTCCTGTTGAGATCTTTCTTTAAAGGGAAACTGTCTACTTAGACCTCCAAATTCAACTTGATAAAGGAAATTATTTTATAAGAAAACAGCTGAAAGTCAAAAGCTTCAATATATTCCTCTAATGCTCTAAAACATGAAGATGCTGTTTATTTACCTAATTGTTACTAATGTCATTGGCAAATGAGATTCCTAAAGGGGTATATTACAATTTAAAAACAAAAATATTTGTCCAGTAAGCTAACATCGTATATTCTGAGAATATTATGGATAACATTTAAAAAAAAAACAAAAACACTCATTTAGACTAAAAGTTGACAGCATCCCTTTAAAGACAGCCTATTCAACTTTTAGTTAATAATTTGTGGGGTTCTTTTTGGTTTTTCATTTGTAATAGAAATGTTATATGTGGCTTAACAATGTTTTTGGATACTAAAGTTGCTTAACAAACAAAATAGAATACAAGAACAAAAATGAAGAAACCAAAATAAAAATATCAATTTTTTATTATTTATTCAGGCGATTTCACCTAAACCTCAAAGTCAGAAAAAAAATGAAGCTGACATTAGCAGTTCTGCCAACACTCAGAAACCTGCACTGTTATCCTCAACTTTGTCTTCAGGGAAGGCTCGCAGCAAGAAATGCAAACATGAATCTGGAGATTCTTCTGGGTGTATAAAACCCCCTAAATCACCACTTTCCCCAGAATTAATACAAATCGAGGATTTGACGCTTGTATCTCAGCTTTCTTCTTCAGTGATAAATAAAACTAGTGAGCACAGATTTTTAAAAAATAGTTACTTATCCTATAAGATACATTAAGACAGTTTGATTGTAGTTATATTGTATTTTTATGAAGTTGCTTTTTAAAACTCAAACTTAAGTGGATATGATAGGGAAGCCTTGAAACTATTTTAGAGGCAAAAACAAATTCTTACTGATTTATTGTTCAGAAACAAGTGCTGGGTGAGAAACCATTTAATAACATAAATTCCACTATAGTTTGACTCTCTTCAACTAATAATCCAAGAACAATGAGAGGCCTGATTCATTACAAAAAAAGAAAAAAAAAAAAAAAAAGAAGAAGAAGAAAAGAAAAGTCAAGGGAAAAAAAAACCCAGAAAGATATAAAAAGATCCATGGTAGATCTTTTTACTTAACTTCTAAAACTATAGATTTAATTAGTGTCCTCACTTATCTGGAATCTCCCTCTGTGATACATTTTATCATTCTTATTCTAGTATTTAGTGTAGACTTCAGTGTAATCTTATTGATGAAAGAAGAATACCTCCTTGATCATATTTTTAAAGATTTTGCTGTTTCAGTACAACTAATTTTTTAGGAGTTAACTTAGTCTTTTTAAATATAATATTTCAACATGGATTTAGATTTGCATAAGACAAGATTTGTGGTGAGCCTGAGTTTTTCATAGTACTTTAGTGTGCTAAGTTAGAGACATATGAAAAAGTTATCTGGAAAGTCACTGGGTAAATGATACTTTTCTTTTGCTCTTTATACAACAAATGAAATAACATTAGTAAATGAATATAACACATTTCCTTATGAACTATTCCATATTATATCTTCCAGAATAGTTAAAGATACTGGCATTGAAAAGACTTTTATTAATCAAACCTATTAACCTTTTTTCCATTCAGTTGCCTTATTTTCTATTAAACCACATCTTTTCACTTTTGATCAAGTTTTGTTTTTGTTTTGTTCTTTTTAATGGATAGAAAGGATGGGAACACAAAAACTCAAGTGTTTCCTCATGAGCTTTGTTTCATTACAGAATTTATCATGAAATAACATCATTAGTAGTCACTGGAATGTCACATGACATAAGCATTTTATTTTGAAATTGTTTTATATCTTGGTATTAACTATAGTAGTATAATAATTGAATTTTATTCTTTCATTTTTTTTTGTAGTTATCACCATGTCTTTTCATTTTGATTGTTATAAAATTACTCTTAAGTACCCAAACATCAACTTCTTTAGAATACTCTCATTTTTTCTTTCTAAATTAATATGAATATATATGGAATCCTGCCTATTCTAAATAGTTGATCATGTCTATATACCATGTAGAAAGAAGAAATCTAAAAGTTAAAACAAAAAAGACATACATTTATAAGTATTTATGTTAAATTGTTAAAAGATGCTTAAATGACTCACCAAGATAGTTATTTTTAAAAAACAAGCAAAAAACACATGTCAGAGAAAGAGCAATGTCATAATCCTAAAAATCTTCATTATTTGCTCACAATATGTATATAAAGTTGTATATTCAATTTTTTTTAATGAATCAGGCCCAGACATATATTTATAAGATTCCATTTGGGGGAATGATGATGATATAAAATTATTTGCATTAGTTTTACTTTGGCAAGTGAAGTTAAGCACTAACTCTATAATGTATGTCACTATGCCCCTGCCCTTTTTATTTCCTTAGGGTTTCTAGATTTGTAATGTAGCAAAAGGAATATATATATATATATATATATATATTAGTTTTTTGCTGTAAAGATACTATTTTCCCAAAGGGAAAGTAGCAATTTACACAATAATCTGCAATTAGAGAATTAACTATAATCTGTCACTTGGGGGAACTACTTGAAATTAATGTTCCATGTCATTTTCTTTTAGTTCTAGTAGGTTTTAGAATTTTTGATTAATTCATTTTCTGAATGAGGGCACAGTTTTTGCCTTTGATTGCCTTTGGAACATGCCATTCCTTGTGGATATCTTATAACAACATCAGAGGGCAGAATATGAATCCTTTTTCCCATTTATCTCCTTAAATATTTTAAGATGATCCTGGTATGTATCTGCTTCGTGAACATTGAAGATCTTTTTCTAGGTTCTCCACAGCCTGTGAATCCCCCTAGACCTTTCAAGCATAGCGAGCGGAGAAGAAGATCTCAGCGTTTAGCCACCTTACCCATGCCTGATGATTCTGTAGAAAAGGTTTCTTCTCCCTCTCCAGCCACTGATGGGAAAGTATTCTCCATCAGTTCTCAAAATCAGCAAGAGTCTTCAGTACCAGAGGGTAATGTATATTGATTTCCTATAGAACCAAACATAAAAGAAGCTAAAGAAAATACTAAGAGATAAAGATGATTAGTATATTAAGAAATTCCTGCTTTTGGGAGTTAGAAGAACTTTATTTATTGAGTGCCGCCTTTGTGCCAGGCACAGTTTAACCTATATAACACGTTAATCCACATTGATGTTAACTGAGCTATTTATATGTGTTGATAATATATTACATTCTTTATTTTGTGTAGTGCCTGATGTTTCCCATTTGCCACTTGAGAAGCTGGGACCCTGTCTCCCTCTTGACTTAAGTCGTGGTTCGGAAGTTACAGCACCACTAGCTCCAGATTCCTCTTATCATAATGAATGTTCCAGGGCAGAAAAGGAAGATGCACAGATGATTACAAATCCTCCTTCCAAAGCAACAACTGATGGAAGAGGAGCTCCAACAACAGGTAAGAAGACTCAAGTAGCTAGACTGGCTGTTAGTGGGTATAAACATTTTGATATTTAACCAGATTATTGTAATTCCATTATGGTTGCTTTTCATAAATACTTTTATGTAACATTTATGGAAGGTAGAGCTTCTCTGTCTATTTAAAAGTTATTTTATGTGATCATTTTATGATCTTTTTCCCTGGACATACTTGTAATTTTAATCTACTTCCTTCTCCCTGCTTCTTTTTTATATCCTTGTTTCTACTAAATAGAAATATTAGAGCTAAATAATTATAAAAATTCTTACTTTTGAAGTTATAAAATATTTATAGGCTTAGGTTTAAGGACTTTAATAGAATTTAATATTTAAGAAGCCCTGAACTATATACCTGTATCTTAAATATAATCCACAATTTGGGGGCAGAATCCCCCAAATTGAATGTAATTTGTTGTAAAGTTATTTGGAGAGTAGAATATGAAAAATCAACCATGTTTAATAATACATTTTTTGGGTGATTTTATGATACTTATTGCTATCTGAAAACATTTGGAGGTATTTTATCAAGTTGATATTTTAAATCTAACAACGTTAAATCATATTTCATTTATATAGTTGCATTGTTTTATTTAGAAGTTTTATGGAATTACAATCACATCCAAAGAGTACATATAAGAAAAAAAAAGTCAAGTACTAGTTTCAGCTGCTTTCTAGTAAATTACTAATTTACTGTCAGATGGGTGCAGGAAGTCTGAATTGAGTCAGTTCTGAGGTAGAGAAAAACATAAACTAGATTGTAGATTGCAGCCAAGTGTATTGGGGATAATTGTATTTAACAGCATCTTCCCTGAAACCACTTAATCTGCTTGTTGGATGAAACATAAAATAAGAGTTTGCTCTTTTCCAGGGGTGGCATATATTGAAATAAAAGAGTGAAGTAACTTAGGAAACGTATGTTTTAGTTTACTGTCTTTACTTTCTTCCTTCTTTCCAAAGTAAAAATGCTACTAATGTTAAATATACAATCCCATTGTATCTATAAGGGTTGAAGTTATTTTGCACATGGTAATCTTTCCTTATTTTTTTTAAAGCCTAAATAAATCTGAGTGTTTATAGATTTTGAAACTTTTTTTGTAATTTCTCAGGTTTGACCCATTATCTTTTGACTCTCTAAGGCCAGTTTTTCCTTATGGTAATTAATTTTTCTTTCCCCCTTTCCCATAAGATTTCTGAATTATCATTGACCCTTTGAGATATTCTTTCCTGAGAAAAATCTTACATAGTTTTTAACAATCTGGAATTTGTTACTGTATTGAATATGTGAAAAATATTCTAAAGTTCTAATGATTCTTAATCCATTGGGAAAATTATTTTCAGTTGTGCATGTGAACCTATATTTTCCTTAAAATACATCTATTATAATGATAATAACAAGACTGAACTATAGATCAATATAAGTAGCTATGTAATAACTAACAGTGTTGTGTTAGCCAGATTATGTATCCTCAAATGTCAAAGTAGTGATCATGCATGGAAATCTTTGACACACATGATTTTGCTTCTAACCAGATTATTACCCTAGTCTTTTTTTGGGAATGTCTAGTGTATTTGTGGAGATACGGCTGATCACCTTAGAGGGAAGGCACACCAATATTCTTTTTTTTCATTATTGGCAGTAACTATTGGGAAAGTAAAAATAGTAAGACTTTTCTGGGAAAGTAAAAGTAGAGTATAGTGAGCTTAATAGCACAGTGACTGGCAACTCTAATTGCTTACATCAAGGAAATGCATGGTTTTAAATGTTAATTACTGAAAGTCAGTTTGTGAAAGGGTTGAACATAGTATTTGAATAGGGGGAGGTGAAATTCTAATTTGTTCCTGTGACATATTATTTTTTGAGGGAATAGTGAAATTTAGGTCTAATTGGGCACCTTTTGATTAAAACTTTATTCTCTTGTCTCATTTGCATGAAATTCTAGGTGGGCTGCATGTTTTTCTCTTTTAACCTTACTGTTATCCACATCTACACTGTTTTGCAGTATTTGTTGGACTTTTGTCTGCTCCTCAGTATTTGTTGGACTTTTGTCTGTTATCTTATATCTATAGTCAATGTGCCAGGTTTTTATATGTTTGTTTCATATATATATATATGTATAATTTCGGTTGGTTGGTGCCTATATTCATTCTAAAAGTAAATTTTATTACTGTTGAATTTTAAAACTTCTGCAGAAAACATTTACCAGAACTGGTATCAAAGACATTTTCTGGATTATCTTTGTCAAATTAAAACTCTTGGAGCATTTAGAATGAGGAGGATTTTAGCCATTAATTATGAAATAGTTTCACAAAATTAGATTTTTTTTCTTTTTTATGTGCAAGATATGGGCACACTGCCGAGTTTAGCAGTGATAAAAACAGGATTGATTAGATTATACAAATACTCCAATTATTATATACACCTGTTCTTAATGGGTTAAAATTTGCTTTTAATTGGTTTTCCAGTAGAGATAACGAGCTTTCACTAATCTATGTACATTCTTGCACTGGGATGGATGCTAACATAACTAACAAAGGTTAGGAATACTATTGCTGTCCACATTACCAATAAAAGTAATTGACACCTGTGTAAAAATTCATGCCTTTGTTTTTATTTTATTATCAGAATGCTTTATCTCATGGAGCCAACCAATTTTAGATAGGATACAGCCTCAGAAAAACTTAGTTGTGTCAGTACCTGGGAAGGTAGATTGGATCAAGTTTTTTAAAACATATCCTTTTGGGAAAGAAGGATATGTGCTCATGTGCTTTCAGGTACTTTAGGCCAAGAGATAACTATTGTTCACTTCTCAAATTCTCTCTTAAGATAGGGAACTGCCTCAGGAAACTTAAAATCTAGAAGGAACATAAAGCTAATAACTGAAATATAAATAAATATTTTAATGTAATAGGTAAGTGCTTGAGGAGGTATATACAGTGCTTTTGGGTGTAAAGGAAAAAAACATGGCTTCAGGTAGGGAAGGAGATGGCATTTTAGGTGGTCTTAGCCTGCTAAGACCTAGGAGTATGAGAGGACAGCCTACCTGCCTCCTCTTCTTCCTTCCTCCTTGAAATTCAGTTCTTCATTTATATGGTAAGGAGACTGTAGTAGATGCTGTCTGTGGTCACTTTTTGGCTCTAAAATTTTAATGTTTTATTTATTATACCATGCATCTGATAGAGTCTAACTTTATTCCAAAGAAAAGATCATGAAATGGTAGGATCATTAATTTTCAATTTATAATTTTCAGATACTCTTGGGAGTGATAACTTCTATTCTTAGTACCCCCTATAAAGACAAAATTGGGATTAGTAGATTATATGAATATAATTTTAAGCCTTTCTAGTTAGTTCTGTGTTGAAAGAAATAATTTTAGTAACACATCTTCGTTTTCTCTTTTTGAAGAAATTAGTACAAAATATCAAGGAATATTTACCTCTATTTTATTGCAGAATATTTTAGTTAATATGAATAGAAAGGTTAGGTTGACATAGACATGAAGACTGAATCTTTATAATGTCAGGGAGGTCATTAGCAACCCACTGAGTTTTAAGACTAAGTTTCAAGATAGCATTAGATGAGATTCATTAGACTTTTCTTCAGTGTCATTCAAAGTCTTACCATAAATTAGTTTTTGAATGAAATACGGGCATATGTAAATAAATATTGTATAAATTTATCATCGTAGTTATGATAGTTGGACTCTTTGTAGTGAATTCTGTCTAGAGAGTCCATGAATTATATTATTGATTGATTAATATAATACATTTTATCACCATTAAAAAACAGAAGTAGGTCATGGGATTAGTCTGAGATAGTAGGGCAAAAAAGTGTGTCATAAACTCTAATCTGAATGTGGCTGATTTTGAAATAACCTTCAATTTTATCCTAACATCTTACACAAACTTTACATTTATAATTTAAAAGCTTTTTTATTTTAAATTGTTTTTCAATTTATTTTACAGAGTTGTTCAAAACAATACTACAACTGGAGACTCTGTAATCTACCTCCACCCCCATACCAAATGTTCATGGCTTCCGCAGAGACTAGGGTTTCCATGGAGAGTCTCAGGGATTGCCTCTTTTTTATGCAGAAGAATCTGTAATATTTAGCAATCCAGAAAGAGCTTTAGAAAACACTCTACGTTACTAGTTTTAAATTGTGTGCAGGCAGGCATTGTTCAGAGATCTACCTCTCTTCAATTAAAATAATTCCATTTGTTTTTTGGGCTTTGTTTTTAAATTATGTATTAGACTGCTGTATACTATTTTATTTGACAAAAATGTTCTGTTGATAAAAGTTAGTTTAAAAATTATTATTCTGTAAACTAATATTCTAGTTCTTTGGTTTCCAAATTCTAGCACATGGTGAAATAAGGATAATATAGTGAACTTCTGGTAAAACTAAATTTATGCTTTTATTGAATTCTATAATAGATTTATATTGTTATTCTATTGTGTGCGAATATTTTTAAAAGTTCTGCCATTATTGCATATATTAATATTTATTTTAATATACTTACTTATGTAAAATGTTGACAAGCATTTGTTAGTCCCCCAATTTTACTTTTGAAATTTTACCATTTATGAAATCTAAAGGTTTGGGAAGTCTCCTGAAAACACTCTGGTTGTGACTGACCATTCTGCTGTGCTAACCTCTGTATTCTAGAGCAATTGTTCATAACTATTTTCTTTGTCTTCCAAGTACCTTGAGGGGTGGCACACATTCCAGTCAATAATGGTAGTCCAGAAAGGCAGTTCCTTTAATCTGACTCCCTGGCTCTACTTCTAGGAGATTCTGAGCAATATTATTCCACTTTCACCCTGGAGAGACTCAGTGCTCCAGAGGAATAAGAACCTAAGGGGCAATATTCATTGTGAAGTGCTGCTTCTGAATGTATTTGTGCTACCACTGAGGATTTAGAAAGCACATTCCTCATTGTTTGCATTGTGAATGTTTTATGGCTTTAAGAAAATTGCATTAAATTTGTAGGGTGTTCATGATACAATAATTAGTAACCAGAAGGAAGTGGTGCAATTTGTTCATTATATAATAAGGAAATTTAATCATATTTCTATTTATTATGATATGTTCTTTTTATTTTCTCTATTATAACAAATGGAGATATTCTTACTTAATTTGAAACTTACATAGAGCCTTACTGGCATTTGATTTGAGTGAGTGGTATTGTTATATTTTTGTTATGTTTAAATTATATAAAATGTTTGAAATAGGAATGAAATGCTAGCTTTTTCCATACTATTATAGAATGATTTAAAAAATAAAAAGTAGTAAATGATATTAAAGCATAATTTATTATAGTATAATTGTATTTTAAGGGTCTCATGCTCTACTGACTAAGCTAGCAGGGCAGTATTTTTAATGCACTGTAGTATTTTTCTTAGATTAACCCTAGCCACAAATGGATATTAGCACTGGGAATGGTTGAATATGAGTTGAATAACTTGATTAAATGTATCTGTGTCAGTTTGCTACACAGTAATTGAGGTACCATATTGGTTTGAAAATGTATTCTGGACTATCAAACAATAATACCTCAGTGGCATGAAGATTATAAATATACCTTTGTATTTTACATTTATATATAGGCCAAAAATGGTTTGCAGAATAATTCTATTTTGGCTCTTATTATTAGCTAACAATGCATTCATGATGGAGTTCAAAAGTACAAATTTGTTTTAGGCACAAGAGGTTAAATATTAGTTTAAAAACTTTATACAGGTTATTGAAAACCAGTATATATGGAGTTTAATGTTTCATTTGGATGATCTGAATAGCATTCATAACTGTCACAGAAGCGGAAATGGTACGTGTACCCAGTACTCACATGGATTTTGATGTCTCCTGGATTGCCAAAGGCAGTGATGCTAGGAGTAGGTCCTTCCTGATTGCCTAGTACAGTTATCTTAACTTCTTTTTAATGGTTAGACTTATACGTATGCTATTTCTGGAAATGTTGGTCTCATTATTATCCTACCACAAAAAAGAAAATAAGAAAAACTGTTTATTTACCAAACACTGGTCTAAGTATTTTATATATTTTGACTCATAATCCTTTAACAATGTGAGATAGATATACTTACTTCTATTTGACAGATAAGGAAACTGAAACACAAAGACATTCTCAAGGTCATATGGCAGATAATGGTGGAACCAGGATTTGAACCTGGGTAGTCTGAAGGAACAAAAGTCATCTTTAATTTATTGCTTTTTTGAAGTAAGAAATCCCACTTCTTTGTTACTAGCTCAGGCAGTAAAATAATGTAGACCTTCAGGAGGAAGAGAGTCTTATGTAGCATTTTGTGGGAAATTGTAATTTAAAATATTGTCCCATACTTCTTACTCTAACTAAATTTACATATTTTTCCCCTAACCCACAGGAATATCGAAAACAGAAAAAAAAGTGAAATTGGAAGAAAAAAACTCAACAGCATTTGGTATGAACAGAAAGTAATCTTTAAGCAAAAGACTATAAAGCTTGACAGAGAGGGAGGACATAGTCTGCCCCTTACTCTTTACCTGTTAATGCTTCTTTAGGTGTAAGTGATCATCTGTTTTAGTACTTACTAGTGTTAGTCAGCTCCAGATACCTTACTTATTAAATACATATCTTGTTTTATATGTATTTTCTGCAAAGGACGTCTCCAGCTTTCTCCGAGAACTTTTGTGTTTAACATCCTAGCTAAAATTATGGCTATTTAAAACTGAGCCTCTAATATTTTTGAAATGTAAAGGATGCATTGAGATAGTCATTTTTTTCAGACTTTCTTCTTCAACGTACCTTATAAAAAATTACTGAGTTTTCTGCTATCTTTTCTATCCTTTGTGTTGTAATGACTAAAACTGATCAGATAATGTATAATAGTCTTAAATATTCTATACCTTGGCTAACTGGAGCTTGAGTCTCTTAAAGTTGGTTAAATATGGTTGATAAATTGTAGGCTAAACCATTCTGACTTAGAACAATAACTACTAGGATATATGTGATAATTTAATTTGAAATACGTTCTAGGATACTGCTCTAACACCTGTTTTTTTTTTTTTTTTTTTTTAAATACATACTATTAGGAAAAAGGATGCTGTAAAATTTGGGAAAAAAATAGTTTAACGAAATAAGTTTTTTTTCCTTCATGTTCTTAGCCTTCATTGTTGTACACATAGGGGAAGTGTTGAAAGACTGAATGAATTATTATGGATATATATTTTTTTAATTTTTCCAAAGAAAAGTCCATCAAGTTTTTTTTCTAATCTTCTAGTATATTTTCTTATTAAATTATATATGGGAATGAAAAGTCTCCTCAGTCAGGTCTTTTATAAATTATGGAGTTTAACTTCTTGTCACATCAGAAAATTGAATGTATTACCCATTTATAGGTTTTAACTACTGTCTGAATTAAGTTTAAGATATCAGTAGTTGGGATTTCTCAACATTGCTAATGAAGATCCCTCTTATAGTCCAATAAGCTAATCAGCAGTTCCAGAGTCATGACATGAACAGTTTAATTGAATCCATCCACTCTGGGCAGGTGACTGGAATAGCTGATTAAAACATAAATGCTGCTTTTAGGTTAACCGCAAAGGAACAACTCAGGATCAGTCATGATTACTGAGGTATTCACTTTTATCTCTTAGGTAAGAGAAAAGAAAAGGACAAGGAAAGAAAAGAGAAGAGAGACAAAGATCACTACAAACCGAAACAGAAGAAGAAGAAAAAAAAGAAAAAGAAATCTAAACAGCATGGTAAGTATTCTATGATAGTTATTCCCATTTTTTAAAGTTCTAAGATTTCTTGGATTCCCCTTTACCAAAATGGAGGTATAACAGGGTCCCCATTTCTTGTAGCTTTCCTTTGTCTTGTAATTTAAAAAATGTACCACTTTGTTTTGCTATAGTCTATAAATTAATTGTTGCAACTGATTAGAGACTTTCCTTTCCAGCATTATGGTGGACTAGATGCTCTGACCAAGCACCCTTCAGCATGCTCAAGAAATTATTCTCAATCTAGAATTGTAGAGCCCCTTAAATTAGATTTCAAGATTGAGGGTGAAATAAAGGTATTTTTAGAAGAACTTGAAAAACCAACAGAATTTGCTATCAACAGTCCATTTCTAAAGGAAATCCTAAAGGGCGAACTTGAAGGCTGAAAGAAAATGATGACAAAAGGAAGATTCGAGATGCCAGAAGACACGATGACCAAATTGTAAATATGTGGGTAAATCTAAACACTGACAATGTAAAACAATTTGATTTGTGGGGATAAACAAAATGATAGTGAACAAAAATACAAAAGAATGATAACTTGTATTTGAGAGGAGCATTCTTATATTTCAGTGTTTTTAAGCTCCTTGAATTGTTCTGGAGGAATGAAAGGAACGTGTTGTTTTTTTTAGTCTTTAGTAAAGTAAATGTGTCTTTAAAAATTTTAGCATAAGCACTGAAAGAATAGAAGAATAGGGTATAATTTCTGAAGTAGAGGGGGAAACATATAGTGAGTAAACCATCCAAAGAAGGCAATAGGAAGAGAGAATCATAGAAAAAGGAGAAAAATGCAAATTATAAAATGTTAGAAATAAATCCAAATATGTCTGTAATTATAGCCATATTATAAAGGTTATAAAGATTTTAAAATTCAATTCTATGTTACATATAAAAGACATATCTAAAGATAAGGATAGAGAAATGTTGAAAATAAAAGTATGGAAAAAATTTTGGTAAGCAAGTACTAACCAAAAGGAAAATTAGATTAGATATATTAAAAACAGATAAAGTAGTCATTAAGGCAAAAATCATTCCTAGAGATAAGAGGTTATCATATAATGATAAAGGTTCAGTTTACTTTATATCTTCCTAGATCCAAAATTTCTAAGTTTTATCACTGAATAATATCATATCTTTCTTAGTGATTAATAAATTAATAAAACTTTAAAGTATTCTGTAAGGATAAGAAAGATAGCAGCAGTATAGTTGATCTAATAGATCTTTATAGAACACTGAACTCAGCAGCTACAGAGTATATAGTTTTCTTAGCTAGACACAAACATTTCTTAAAATTGATTATGTGATACAGCTTTAAGCAAATCTCAACAAATTGTAATGATTGGTGTAATATAGACCCCTGGTTTCAGACCACAATATAATTAGCTAGAGCCAATATAAAAAATATAAGTAGAAAAGCCCCGAATATTTAGAAATCAAGCAACACACTTCTACATAACTTGTGGATCAAAGAACAAGTCCAAAGGAAAAGTAAAAAAGATGTTAAGAACCTGAAGAATGATAAAAATGTTATATGTCAAAACTTGTAAATGTAGTTAAAATGGTACTTATATGAGAATGTATTCCCATACATGCTTATATTAGAAAAGGATGAAAAACTGCTAAGTCTGCAGCTTAAGAAGTCAGAAAAGGAGAGGGCTTCCAGATGGCTCACTGGAGGCATTTCTTACACGTGTCTTCCACAAAGAAGAACCAAGTTAGTGATTAGATAATCATACTTCAAATAGATCATCCAGAACAGCACATCGGAATTCAAAAGAGAAATGCCAGGAAACACCTAAAGCAAGGAAAGAGAGGGAAGTGAGACAGGCTGCTCAGCCAGTAGTATCATCTGGGAGCCTGGAGAGACTTCCTAATGCAGGGAAAGTTTAAGCAAGAGACCCCCCCCAGCAGTCCACATTCCCACCAGGAATCCTGCAATCATACCCACAGGAGAGTCCCTTGACCCTGTGGGCCCTGAAACTAACATAGGAAACTTCTTGGAGACTGTACAACAACATTGTTCCAGAGAGGGAGTTCACCCTAGGTCCCACAGATGTGCTTGCTATAGCTGCTGAATCCTAAGCAATATATAGCAAGGTGCCATTTTGAGAGCTCAGTGCCCAACAGACTGTACACTGTCCTGGAACCCAACAGAGCCTGCATCTCCATACCTCTGGAGCCCTACTGACATCCCTAGCCTACAGGTATTACTCGTTGTCTCTGTCTGCTGCTAGGGTTGAAGCACAGGCTACTGGCAGTGAACCTGCTGCCTCCAGCAATGGATCCTCCATAAATTTTCATAAATCCAGAGAAAGTCCCTTACCCACAACTATTGTCACTGGGGCTGAAGTGCAAGCAAAGTGTGAGCTCCTATCACCAGGGCTGAAGTGTAAGCAAAACAGACTGTCACTACTGTGGCTGAAGTGTGACCAAAACACATGTTCGCCACCTATCTACCTAGCATACTGCCACTGAAAGCAGCCTCTTCTTCTTTAGGAGCAGGGTGGCAGCATAGCTGCTGCCCTCCACCCAAGAATTCCACCAGGGGCCTGGGGATCACCCTGCACCTGTTCACAATAGCCATCACCTATATGCACCATTAAGAGTCCTGGGGATAAGCCTACCCAGCCTGGTTTTGATGTTGCCTCTTTTCCCTTTGCTAGAGCACATAGTCTAAAGGACTGTGGATTGCCCAGCCCAGTCCACCACTATTGACACCTAAACACTCCCCCTGGGGGCAGGAGTTTGCCACGACCACCACAGCTGGCACCTTCCCGTATGTGCCACCTGTAGGACTGGAAATTGGTCCACACAGTCCATCAGTAGCCACTGCCACACCAGTATGTACTGCTTGGGACATAGAGGGTTGTCCTGCCACTGCTACTGCTGTCGTCCATGCTACACCTGCTGCCCAGGGGCCTGAGAACACACCCACCAATCTGGTATACTAGTACTACTACCAGCATCCAAGCAAGACATATGGAGGTCTGAGAATCAGCTCCCCAGTACTCACTAATACTGGTGCCAGTATATGCCACTCAGAGGTCCAAGGACAAGCATACTCAGCCTATTGCTGCCACCACTGGAACTTCAAAACCAAACCCCACATCCCAGTCCCCAGCAAAAGTTCACTACAGCTTCCAGTAGTAACCACACCCTAAGCCACTAAGGAAATCAGATACCACTGATACTGTTTCCAGCTGAAGAGATCATACAGAGACCACATTACTGCATACAACCAAAATCAAAGGCAAAGTAGACTACCCAACAAAACACCATAGATACATCTTCAGGAAAAAGCCCTCCTTGTAAAAGCAAATTCAAGAAATTGGAAGAAGTGACTGCTACATCAGATGCACAGATACCAATGGAAGGATGTGGTAAATATGAAAAACAAGAAAATATGACACACAAAAGGGCCACAACAATTGTCCAGCAACAGATCCCAATCAAGAAGAATTCCTTTAAATGCCAAATAAAGAATTCCAAATATTGATTGTAAAGAAGCTCATTGATATACAGAATACTGGAAACTATGCAAAGAAATCAGAGATACAATTCAGATATGAATGAAAAATATATCAAAGAGCTACATATCATAAAAACGAACAGAAATATTGGAAATGAAGAATTCATTGAATTAAATACAAAATAAAGACAGATCTTTTAAAATAATACAGTCAGACAAAAATTAAAAAGAATAAAAAAGAATTGAGTGAAGCCTACATGACATAACACGCCATAAATTAACTAAATATTTGAATTTTTGGAGTCCCAGAGGGCACAGAGAAAACAAAATTATGAGAAAGCCTATTTAGCGAAATAATATATGAAAACTTCCTAAGTCTAGCAAAAGATTTAGACATCCAGATATAGGAGGCTCAGAGATCCCCATATACATACAATGAAGAAAGATCTCCACCATGGCACATTATAGTCAAGCTATCTAAAGTCAAAGATAAAGAGAGAATTCTAAAAACAGCAGGAGAAAAGCAGGTAATCACTTTTAAAGGAGCAACCATCAGACTAACAGTGGATTTCTCAGCACAGAACTTACAGGCCAAGAGAAAGGAATGGTATGTTCAAAGTACTGAAAGAAAAAATAACTAGCAGTCAAGAATACTATACCCAGCACAATTATCCTTCATACATGAAAGAGAAGTAAAGTGTTTCCCAGACAAGCAAAAGCTGAGAGAATTCATCACCACTAGGCAGGCCCTACAAGAAATGCCTAAGTCCTATACCTGGAAGTGAAAGAATGATATCTACCATTGTGAAAACACATAAAAATATAAAAACTAGTGATAGAACAAACACACAAACAAGGATGGGAAAAGACTCAAGTGTTACCCCTATAGAAAACTATTAAACCATAATGACAAACAATAAAGAGAGAAAAAAAGGATCAAAAGGATATATAAAACAACCAGGATTCAATTCATAAAATTACAGGAATAAGCTCTCCCATATCAATAAAAACCTTGAGTGTGAACAGATTAAGCTTTCAACTTAAAAGAGATAGACTGGTTGAATGGATTTAAAAAATATGATCAAACTATATGCTGCCTACAAGAAACTCACCTCATCTGTAAAGACATATATAGACTGAAAGTAAAGGAATGGAAGAAGTTACTCTATACACATGGAAACCAAAAGCAAGCAAGAACAGATATACTTATATGAGATAAAGCAGACTTTTTAGTAAAAAACAGTAAAAATTGACAAGCTGGTTACATAATGATAAAGAATTCAATTCATCAAGAAGATAAAACAATTCTAAACATACTTGTACCCAACACGACCAGACATAAAGAAAATATTAGGTTTAAAGGGAGAGATAGACTCCAATTCAGTAATAATTAGGGACTTCAACATCCTACTCTCAGCATTAGGCGCAGATCATCTTGACAGAAAATTAACAAATAAATATTGGATTTAAATTGCCTCTTAGAGCAAATGGACTTTTCATACATTTACTGAAC